TTTTTTTATATAGAAACAAAGTCATACGGGAGTAAGTATTTTTTTAATATTGATCAGGCTTTCAATGATTCATTTTAACCCATTGTTTTTGAAAGTGATAATTTACAGCGCAATAATTAATCGTAGTGTGCATACGGCCTTAACTTGCGTTAACTACGTGGTTTCTTTTTCAGAGATAAAATACTTTGTTGTTTTTAAACCGTTTTTAATTAAACATAATTATGGACATTTACTAAAATAATTTTATTTTTGCAGTGGTTAAATGTAAATTATGTAAGCATTTTATTACATTTTGTATATATATTCAGATTGATGTTTTAATCACACTTTCTGAAGCACAGTTTGTCGTTTTTTTTCTTTTCAGAAATCTTCGCCCAGTTCAAGCGTAAGAAAATAAAATCATATAATTAGTACCTATAATACGTTTAAGTAGTATAAAAGGAAATAATGTAACAATGTTGTCATTGTAGATTAATTACCACCGTTAAACTTATAACTTAGGGCACCCCGACACATTTGGATAGTGATATAGCGCTCGACACCGCTCGCTGCCCCGCACTTTGTGAGGGTCACAGTACTAACCTAACTTAACTAAATGTGTTGGGTGCCCCCTCAAGTCCTCCGCCGGCCCTGCGCATTCATCAAATATACCTTAGCTGTTTCATTTCGGCTAATATGAGCATTAACCGGATAAAGATGGAACATCACGACGCATACTAATATGATTTCGAACTTCAGCTGCTTCTCGAAGATGAACCTAAGTTAAGTCTGCTAATCTTACATAAGTTCGTGTTCACGAACCTTTAGCCGTAACATATATAGAGGTATACCCATATCTGCGTAAGTCTATGGTATTCAGTTACATTATTTATTATTTTCATTGGGTCTCTGCATCATCTAAAGGTTTGGCTGGACGCGAATGCCCACGGCATCAAGCCCACCTATTATGGTCTAAAATAGGTTTCTAGGTTTCTAGTGTACCTGCTAGAAAGGTGATTTTTCATACCTTCGAATGGCGCGACCTTCAAATTGCTGGTATGTGATAAAGTTGGCGAAGACAAAATTAAATAAGATAAATATTTAAATATAACTCAAGTTAGGAAAAGTCAATAAATATGAATACAACTCAAGAAATAGACAAATAGTTAGTAGCGATTAAGATATTTGTGCTGTCAAACTGACGGCTTCGGCACTTCTAGTGCATAAAAATAATTGACAATAATTTGGAATATTTTGAAAATGTTATTACAATTTTGTAAGTATGAGGATACTAGAATGTATGTAGTCAAGACAACAAATTTCTCCTTTCAGAAGAAATCACGAGTTCACAACTTGGGTGTAAGTAAATAAATGTTTCGAGAAATCTTAATTTCTAAAAACTTTCACTCTTTATATTAAGATATGATGGAAAGTGGTGTATTTTGTTGGAGTAATGTGTTATTTGTTTAACGTTTCATTTCAGGACCTTAGCTTCAGATACGTAAGTAATCAAGCATTTATGCGCATTCTGAATCCAATTCAATCAAAATAATCCCGAAAAAATAAATAATAAATAAGTAAAGAGAAAAATATATTCAATGCTCAATAATAAAATTATGCCGACACTGCCAACGACTGCCTGCGTATTATATATTAAAATTATATTTGACATACCTAATTATTGTTTGTTCTCAAATAGATAGCAAATGTGTCTCCACCACAATCAGAGGTAACTTTGAAATATTATAAATAATAAAAAAAATATGTGGTCGTGCTTACACGCCATAGTTGCTCGAATGACATACACGTACTAAGTATCACATCACACAGTAGAGTACGTCAGCAAACCGGTACACACCAGCCAAATTGTGTGAGAATCGTACGTAGGTGCTTAGGTACCCAATAATGAACATATACGAATCGCTCTTGTTGTTCGAGTTGAAGCTGCCATTGGTAACTGCTCGAGCAGTACCCAATTGCAATGTTAATTAATTAGTAGCATCGTGGATTTTGAGGAGGAAATGGTCGGGTGTCCGGGACGAGAGCAGTTGACAGCTCGAGCAATCAATTAATCGCTCGATGAAATGTCACCGTGCTGTCAACCGTCCGAATCAGTTGCAACAGCTTGAACTGTTTGTGTATCTACGTACATAGAAGTCTGTAATTACCTCACCTAGTAACCGAGCTTGTTTATATTTGATGGGCCGACGTTTGACCACTATCTCGCCTCGTGGTAAGCAATGAAGCGGTCTACGATGGAGCACGTCGACCCATAAGCAACCTATTCACACAGGCCTTGATGACACCCAGGTTATACCCTTCAGGAAATACAGACTTTTGTAAAGAATTCCACTCCTTAGCAGTACGCACAAGGAAGCTTGATGCGCTTCGTGCGTGTGGGTGGGATATCTACCATGAATCGGTTACGCTTCGCCGATTGTCGTGTAGTAGAATGATGGAAAGGATTAGGCGAAATCATGTTGTTTATACAACTTCTGCCCTATTACAGTATGTTATAGCTACTGTTTATGCCACTTTCTAAATGTAATGGTTTAAGTTTTGGGCAGCGTCATAATACCTCTTGCACACGAATGGAACAATGGATATGACTAAAGATTTGATAAATCTTAAATATAACATAATATTATTATTTACATTTATTAATTTTTTTCATTTTGTTTTTGACATGATTTTAATATTTCATTTGATTTTTTCCGACATTTGATTGTATTATTATGAATATTATTTGATTATATTATTATGATTAAGTTTCACCTTTTATTTGATGTGTGCCATATTTTTGTCAAATTCTATTGTTTTTAGTTACAGTCGTGTGATTTTTTTATGGAATAGGAGGCTAAAGTAGCAGACGGACCACCTGATAGTGATATGGAGCCCCGGTAACCCGTTAGGTTCTCCGTGGCTCCGTATCGGCATCCGCCCTATTGGACCCCATCCGTGGTGGTCAGATGGCTCTTTGAGGCGCGCGCGGAACGCGACGCTCCGCACGCTCAGGTCTGGTTCTGCTCAGGCGGCGAGCCACCCATGCTTGCCGTCCGCAGGCCCGCACTTACAGTGGCCAGAGATCGTCCCGCGATCCCCTGACGCCCAGAGGGTTCTTCGCGATGGCTGGGTTGCGAAGAGGCAGCGCTTCGCTGCCTCATGGCCTCGCCCAAAAATGAGAACAGTATTCCATATGGGGTCGAACTTGTGCCTTATATAGAAGCAGGCGGTGGGTCTGGGTGAAATACTGCCTCGATCTATTGAACACACCAAGCTTCCTCGAGGCTAATACGGCCTTATCCGCTAGATGACAACGAAACTGGACTTCGCTCGAAATGTTGACACCAAGTATTCCAATACCGGCTGAGGCAGTTAGGGAAGTGTTTTGAAACTAAGGAGAGACGACCAATGACAGTTTCTTAGCGGTAACCGCGTAGACCTGTGTCTTAGTGGGGTTAAACTGGACCAAATTAATTCCACCCAAATTAGAGATTCTCCATTAAGAGGTCTCGATTTCCGACACGAGTCTGTTTCGGTTCTCTATGACGTTTTCCTGAGAAATATTAGCGTGGCCGGTGAGTTGGCATCGCCTGTGCTGTCATCCGCATAACAATGAATGCCGCTTATCAGAGCATTCATCGTCGATAACAACCTTAATGCTTCTGTCTGCAAGAAAGCAAGAGACCATTCGCATAATCTGACAGGAAGGTTCGAAAGAAGCGCTCTATGCCAAACCCTATCGAAGGCCTTCGCCACGTCCAAACTTACTGCCAACGCTTTCCCCTTAGAATCAATCGACTGTGCCCACCGGTGCGTTAGGTAAACTAGAAGATCACCAGTAGACCGACCTGTACGAAAGCCGTATTGTTGGTCACTCAGCGGCTGATGATCCTCTTAGTAACGTAATAGGTTTTAAACATTTAATTTAAATAAATAAATACATATTAACTGAGTTATGTAATTAAGGCTAATTAGTTTAAAAACTGTAGCACATTATAGATGGATCAATGATACTATAATATAAGGTTCTATATAGTACCAATAAATGAAACCAGTGGGTGAAAGTATAGAATTTTTTGGTTTTTAGGATCCGAAGGACTACCTAGTGCAGCGAATGCTCGAACTGGCCGCAGTAAGTAATCAAATTATAATTATTCTGTATTTTGGTCAGGCAGCCCCGTAGTATCGGGAGGAGAGGGGAGGGGGCGGCAAAAATTCCCGACGGCGACGTGCACTGTCACGGCTCGTCTTGTCTTCCCCTGCATAGGCAAGATGCTGGAGATATGTAAGTCGATGAATATGGGAAAGATTGATTTGTTAGAAGCAAACGAATCGAAAACAAAAAGTTGGATAGCTACCACCCATAGCCTTCATTTTGCTCACTGGTCTGGTGTTGCAATTTCCCATACAGATAGCCAGAGAGAGGGAGTTATTCTAACTAAAAGAATGAATGATTGTGTGAATCTTAGGATACATTGGCACTAAACATTAAGCGAGATATGATAGGTTAACTACTGAAATGCTAACAGGGGGTGGACATATTATTGCAAGCCTGCTGTATCTACTTTTTAAGAAGTCTAGGCAGTACGGTTGTGTCCCTGGAGACTGGGCCAAAGACGTAATTGTGGCACTGTATAAATGAAAAAGGTCACAGCAGGAGTTCTAAAATGCTGGTGATAGAAAGGAATGAGGTGATAACAGAATGTCAGGTAATAATTATAATAATAATAAAGCGCTTTATTCAGATTTTTTACATTGTTGTTACCAAGAGGTTCCTTTTGGCAAAGGCCTTCTCTAATAACCTCCATTGAATTCTGTCGCGGGCCACTCTTCTTTAGTCGGGGCCTGCTGTTAATCTTAGTTCGTCCACTCATTGTTTTGACTGTTTTCCTCTGCTGCGTTTACCGTCCCTTGGATATCAATCAGTTACTATCTTGCACCATCTTTCCTTGTTTTCTCTCATCATATAATCAGTCCATTTTTGTTGGTCAATTCTTGTTAAGATATATATGAACATTTTGCTCTTAGTTGGTCGTTACTTACATGCTTCACCCTATGTATGCCTGTCATACTTCTTTCCATGATTCTTTGACAGTACTGGGGCTTGTTCCTATGTTGTTTTGTCAGGTAATAATAGACGAGGAAAAATTGGAACAGGTGAATGAGTTTTTGTATCTGGGATCTCTGTTTATGAGAGATGGACAGTATGACGGAGATATTGAAAGGAAAAGCCTCACAGAAAACTGACGTGAAGCAGCGCTTGCGTTGTGTTTCGTCGTGTGAGTGAGGTTACCGGAGGCCCAATTACCCTCCCCTTCCCGAATCTCCCCAATCCCTGAATCCCCAACGATCCTCAAATTCCTAATCCCCAAAAAGCAGGTAACGCACGTGTAACGCCTCTGGTGTTCCAGGTGTCCATGGGCGACGCCGATTGCTTACCATCAGGTCATCCGTCTGCTCGTTTACCGGCTTATGCCAAAAAAAAAGGAGAATGAGAGCGGGAAATAGTGTAAATGGTGCCTTATACTCTGTAATGTCCAGTAAAATAATATCCAGCAAAACTTGACTTGCCGTAATACAGTGTGTAGAGGTATAGACACCAACGCTTATGCGGGTGCGGAAGAAGAAGCATGAAAAGAGGATTAATGCGGTGGACATGAGAGCTCTGAGAAGTACGTGTGGAATAAAATTGATCAATTGAGTGAAAATAATGTTATTATAGAAAGGTGTGGATTGACAGACAGTAGTGACAAGGAATAAAAAAAGTAATGTTCGAATGGTTTGGACATGTAGAAAGTATGGATGAAAGCAGATGTACGAAAGAAATAGGTACCTAGACAGAGGGGATGTGAATGTGACCGTTCAACCTCTTATAAAGGGGCATGCGAATCCGCGGACGGAAAGCTATTACATTCTTATTTGTAAATATGCTCTTTTCCTCGCGAGATCTACAGCATGTAACGCTAAATGCGCACAATCTCAGACAAACCAATTGACTTTTAATTCATTTCACCTAAAATTAATTAAACAATAAGTAAATGATTATAATTATTTTTATAGGAACATCATGGTAGAGGAGTGAGTATTGTTAATTATTATGTTTGTCGGCTTACTCACATGAATATTTGACGAGGAACTCGACTAGTTTCACGCCATGCTAGGGGCTCATATTCATGAGCAGCATTCCGCGACCCGCGACGCGGCGACTGTCGCGCTGCTACTGTGAATATGAACCTCTAGGAGATATGTCTCACGAAAGGTATATCATAAATACGTATTGTTATTTTAATGTTTATCAGGGTTTAATTTATTCAATTTTCACTTAAGCTTAAGTGCGCACTATTATGCTAAAACTCATTCTCACGGTAATAGTATCATATAGTATTCCAACTTCATACAAACGGACGAAACGCGAGCTATACCTACGCGCTTCGATGTCAGAGTGCGCTCGGGGCGCAGACCGCAGTGACGATTTGATGAACGGACGGTGTGTTGTTTTTTTTTTTTACAATAACTGCGCGATTTTTCTCTAAAAATCAGTTTGAGTACATATTTCATATGACGAGTAGTTTTTAATTATGCTTTATATTAGAATACTGAATTATTTACTATGCGCAATTCGTACAACTCAGTCGAGGCGCAAATATTTTTCGGTCGCAAATGTATAAGCCCGATTTATTTTTCAAACAAAAACACGTTTTTTTTTAATTAAATCTACCAATAAAAAAACAACAACAACATATACAAAGTACTTTATTATAAAAAGAATATTTACATTCACAAAACTAAATAGAAACAGAAAGTAGGCAAATGTAATTAAAATGCCGGAGACGGGCAGCCCTAACGCATGTTTACGTACCGCGCGTAGGTATTTAAATGTAGGCCGAGTTAAACCACTGTATGGTAATATTACTGGGCCATTGTTTTTCAATTTTGCGATAATTTACAGCGCAATAATTAATCGTAGTGCGCGTACGACCTTAACGTGTGTTACGTGGGTTTTTCAGATATAAGATATTATGTTGTTTTTATACTTTTTCTAATTATACATACATTGAATGGATTTCTAAAATAATTTTGTTTTTGCAGAGTTTACAAATATCGTATGTAAGTAGTTTACTGCATTTTATTTCATTTGATTTATTTCCATTGATGTTTTACCCCCATTTTGTAAAGCAGGGAGTATAATTTGTCGTTTTATTTATTTTCAGAGACAATCTCCCGGTTCAGCCGTAAGAAAATTGTCAATAATTTAGAATATTTTGAAAATTTTATTACAATTCTGTAAGTAGTAGGATACTTACATACAGGGTGTACGTAACGCTGCCGCAAAAAACGCCGACGGTGATAGTAAAAAACAAGTTCTATTTTCATAAAGTAAAGAATTAAATGTTTCTTTGACGTACCTAATGATAGTTGTAATCCAGGCTGAAGTTGCATACATAAAAACGATTGAAATCCTAAAACCAATTTTTTTGTCACCGATTCGGGAGCGTTCCGTTTACACCCGGTACACGTAGGCATTAAGACGATAACTGGTCTCCTTTCAGAAAAAATCACGAGTTCACAACTTGGGCGTAAGTAAATAAAGGTTTCGAGAATTATCTTATGTTCTCAAAACTTTCACTCTTTATACTAAAATATGATGATGTCCCTGGAGACTGGGCCAAAGACGTAATTGTGGCACTGTATAAATGAATAAGGTCACAGCAGGAGTTCTAAAATGCTGGTGATAGAAAGGAATGAGGTGATAACAGAATGTCAGGTAATAATTATAATAATAATAAAGCGCTTTATTCAGATTTTTTACATTGTTGTTACCAAGAGGTTCCTTTTGGCAAAGGCCTTCTCTAATCACCTCCATTGAATTCTGTCGTGGGCCACTCTTCTTTAGTCGGGGCCTGCTGTTAATCTTAGTTCGTCCACTCATTGTTTTGACTGTTTTCCTCTGCTGCGTTTACCGTCCCTTGGATATCAATCAGTTACTATCTTGCACCATCTTTCCTTGTTTTCTCTCATCATATAATCAGTACATTTTTGTTGGTCAATTCTTGTTAAGATATATATCAACATTTTGCTCTTAGTTGGTCGTTACTTACATGCTTCACCCTATATATGCATGTCATACTTCTTTACATGATTCTTTGACAGTACTGGGGCTTGTTCCTATATTGTTTTGTCAGGTAATAATAGACGAGGAAAAATTGGAACAGGTGAATGAGTTTTTGTATCTGGGATCTCTGTTTATGAGAGATGAAAAGTATGACGGAGATATTGAAAGGAAAAGCCTCACAGAAAACTGACGTGAAGCAGCGCTTGCGTTGTGTTTCGTCGTGTGAGTGAGGTTACCGGAGGCCCAATTACCCTCCCCTTCCCCAATCTCCCCAATCCCTGAATCCCAAACGATCCTTAAATTACTAATCCCCAAAAATAGTGTAAATGGTGCCTTATACTCTGTTATGTCCAGTAAAATAATATCCAGCAAAACTTGACTTGCCGTCGCCGGCAGAAGAAGCATGAAAATAGGATTAACCTCTTATCTGTCGGCATATGAGACACAATAGAAAGCAGATTGTGTCTCGCGTATATCTACGCTCCCGGCATACCAAGGGTTAATGCGGTGGACATGAGAGCTCTGAGAAGTACGTGTGGAGTAAAATTGATCAATTGAGTGAAAATAGTGTTATTACAGAAAGGTGTGGATTGACAGACAGTAGTGACAAGAAATAAAAAAAGTAATGTTCGAATGGTGTGGACATGTAGAAAGAATGGATGAAAGCAGATGTACGAAAGAAGTAGGTACCTATACAGAGTGGATGTGAATGTGACCGTTCAACCTCTTATAAAAGCGCATGCGAATCCGCGGACGGAAGGCTATTACATTCTTATTTGTAAATATGCTCTTTTCCTCACGAGATCTACAGCATGTAACGCTAAATGCGCACAATCTCAGACAAACTAATTGACTTTTAATTCATTTCACCTAAAATTAATTAAACAATAAGTAAATGATTATAATTATTTTTATAGGAACATCATGGTAGAGGAGTGAGTATTGTTAATTATTATGTTTGTCGGCTTACTCACATGAATATTTGACGAGGAACTCGACTAGTTTCACGCCATGCTAGGGGCTCATATTCATGAGCAGCATTCCGCGACCCGCGACGCGGCGACTGTCGCGCTGCTACTGTGAATATGAACCTCTAGAAGATATGTCTCACGAAAGGTGTATCATAAATACGTATTGTTATTTTAATGTTCATCAGGGTTTAATTTATTCAATTTTCACTTAAGCTTAAGTGCGCACTATTATGCTAAAACTCATTCTCACGGTAATAGTATCATATAGTATTCCAACTTCATACAAACGGACGAAACGCGAGCTATACCTACGCGCTTCGATGTCAGAGTGCGCTCGGGGCGCAGACCGCAGCTTGACGATTTGATGAACGGACGGTGTGTTGTTTTTTTTTAACAAGAACTGCGCGATTTTTCTCTAAAAATCAGTTCGAGTACATATTTCATATGACGAGTAGTTTTTAATTAAGCTTTATATTAGAATAGTGATTTATTTATTATGCGCATTTCGTACAACTCAGTCGAGGCGCAAATATTTTTCGGTCGCAAATGTATAAGCCCGATTTATTTTTCAAACAAAAACATGTTTTTTTTTAATTAAATCTACCAATAAAAAAACAACAACAACATGTACAAAGTACTTTATTATAAAAAAGAATATTTACATTCACAAAACTAAATAGAAACAGAAAGTAGGCAAATGTAATTAAAATGCCGGAGACGGGCAGCCCTAATGCATGTTTACGTACCGCGCGTAGGTATTTAAATGTAGGCCGAGTTGCACTACTGTATGGTAATATTACTGGGCCATTGTTTTTCAATTTTGCGATAATTTACAGCGCAATAATTAATCGTAGTGCGCGTACGACCTTAACGTGTGTTACGTGGGTTTTTCAGATATAAGATATTATGTTGTTTTTATACTTTTTCTAATTATACATACATTGAATGGTTTTCTAAAATAATTTTGTTTTTGCAGAGTTTACAAATATCGTATGTAAGTAGTTTACTGCATTTAATTTCATTTGATTTATTTCCATTGATGTTTTACCCCCATTTTGTAAAGCAGGGAGTATAATTTGTCGTTTTATTTATTTTCAGAGACAATCTCCCGGTTCAGCCGTAAGAAAATTGTCAATAATTTAGAATATTTTGAAAATTTTATTACAATTCTGTAAGTAGTAGGATACTTACATACAGGGTGTACGTAACGCTGCCGCAAAAAACGCCGACGGTGATAGTAAAAAACAAGTTCTATTTTCATAAAGTAAAGAATTAAATGTTTCTTTGACGTACCTAATGATAGTTGTAATCCAGGCTGAAGTTGCATACATAAAAACGATTGAAATCCTAAAACCAATTTTTTTGTCACCGATTCGGGAGCGTTCCGTTTACACCCGGTACACGTAGGCATTAAGACGATAACTGGTCTCCTTTCAGAAAAAATCACGAGTTCACAACTTGGGCGTAAGTAAATAAAGGTTTCGAGAATTATCTTATGTTCTCAAAACTTTCACTCTTTATACTAAAATATGATGAAAAGTGGTGTATTTTATTAGAGTAATTTGTTATATTATGTTTAACGTTTAATTTCAGGATCTTAGCTTCAAATACGTAAGCGGCATTCTGAATCTAACTCAATCAAAATAATAACTATCGTGAGACATACTAAATTAAGTAAAATCGCGGGTTACTCACGTGAATATACTGAGAAAAGCTCTATTAGTTTCGAACCACAGAGGGGTTCTTCCTCATGAGCAGCGTGCGCGGTCGCGGCGACGTCGCGCAGCTCACTGGCTGGCGTTGGCGCTCGCTTCGGTTCGGTCGGTTCGAAACTAGTAGAGCTTTTCTCAGTATATTCACGTGAGTAACCCGCGATTTTACTTAATTCAATCAAAACAATCCCGAAAAATAATTAATAAATAACTAATGACAAAATATTCAACGCTCAACAATGAAATTGTGCCGACACTGGCAACGACTGTTGGTGCCTTTTTACACGTTTCTGTTGCCGTGTATACAAATTACGCCGGCATGTGTGAACAGGCACTAACTTCATGATAAAACAAAAGAGTCGTTAATGCCTGCTTATTTTCCTTATAATCATATTCAAGGTAATCGTTGTTTGTTCTAATACAGATTGTACCGCTAGCGAATCCAATAACAGAGGTAACTTTTAAAAAATATAAAAATTGACCACATATTATTGCAACTATCCTATGCCCTTTCTCGAGTCTCCAACTATCATTGTACGGAATTTCAGTAAAACGGATTCTCAGACGGAAAATACCGAGACGTCCGATTTTAACGCGTAGTTCCCGTACTCGTGGGGTTTTCAGAATAAAACCTAGTAGTATAGCTCCTTTCTCGCGGGTGTTAAACTATTATTGTACGGAATTTCAGTCAAATAGGTTCATTAGTTTAAAAGAAATGGTTTCTTGTTGACCCGAATTTGCATCCGCAAAAATCCGCATTTATTGATGCGGATGTGATTGCAGATATATGAATTAATGCGAATATTCTGCACCTGCGGATCTGAACGCGAATCTTCGCAACACCCCTGATCAATATTACTATATTAGTGTATTTTGTTTAATTTAAATCATAAGAGTATGATTTATGAATAAAAAATAGTTTATCAGCAAAAATGTCATGCGACGAATCGACAATCGAATGAGATGCTACGCTATAACAGTGCTTAAAGTAATTCAAAGATGGCGCTTTTTGAATTATATTTATTCTATTGTATGTACTGAATGTGTGGCCCGAGTGCACAAAGTTTATTTAAGAACATATCGAAACGCCTGGTCGACGTATCTCTTGACCAGAGGGCTGGTCTGTTCTTTGCCATACAACGTGGCAATGCTGCCAGCCTTCTGTGCACTTTCCCTATGGACATCCTCTTTTTAGATAGTTATTTTGAGATTTCTTTTAATTTAATTTCTCTATTAATTTTAGATTATTTTTAGTTTTATGAACATATTTATTTATTGGCTTGTTTTTATATTTTAAATAAGTAATATACCCTATATTAAAGAAATAAATGGGGTTAAGTCCAAATATCTTAACCTCCCCTCTGTGACTCCATAGTGAACACACGCGTATTACTAGTTGTCCCGGTTTTCAGAATCAGAATAATTTTATTTGTAAACGTAGGTATGTGAGGTGTTACAGGTAGGTAGATTCTCCATGTTTTGCCCAGAGGCGTACAAATATTATATAATTATAATTAAAATTAACATTGTCATCATTCAAAAATTAATTGACACATCAGTAATTGTAAATTAAATTAAATCTGATTAAGTAACATGTTATACAATACTAATGTCAAATAAAATTAGGATCATCAAATAAGTCTTATGTAATGTCAATATTTTACAAGATTTAACAAATTGTCTAGAGAAATTAGTTTTCGTGTCATATTATTTAGCGTTAAACATAAGATTAACAAATATTAATACGAATAATTCGTCAGTGGAAATTGGTGGTTTTAATTCCACAAATAGTGTAAAAAGTATTTAAATTTACAAACGAAAGTAAACACAGTGCTAACAACCTGGACTATTGTGCACAAAAATGGTACATGGAATGCATTATATAAAGTGATATTTTTTTTTTTGGACAAGCCCGCCACAACCTCCCAAAACCGCTGCAACTCCTGTAAGTCAAGATCTACAGTAGATACAACCATGAAAAAACCAGAACACTGAAGTCCGGCGCGTCCCAGGGACATGAGTAACTGTCTTGGTTCCCGCAACGAAGTGAATCAGAAGATATTATAAGAGGAGAAGAAGAAAAGAAGAAGAAAAAAACTATGGTTTCCACTTCCTTCGGTGAATTACTGCAGGAGACAGAATGAATTAAGCCTAAAGGCACAAAGAAGAAACTGTACAACTGGGTGAAGCCCAGTCGCCAAGCACCACGGAAATTTGACTAAAAACTAAGTGGGTCCTATGTGTGAGCTGTTATACATTATATAAAGAGATAATTGCAAATTAAAATCTATCTAACATAATTGATAATATTTACAATCACCGGTAGTTGTAAAAATAGTGCACGGACTCGGACTTTGAATCCATTAGTACATGCCGACTTGACCTTGCTGTTCGTCCTCTTGTTGCTTGTCACTAATAGGTCTACCTAATTTCATCACTGTAAACAATGCTTGCTTAGCCTGATACGTATAGTTTCGCCGGCGGTTTTGTTGGAATCGAGTTCGGATTTTTTCTGAAGAAAGAGGAGAGAAGAAAGGAAGAAAAGGAAGAAAGGGAATAGTTTATTAAAAATCTTAATAAACTATGCCGAACTTACAAAGATCACTTCTGTTGACGCCCGATAAGGCGATGCTTATGCCCGGGAAATCTACCTCTGAACCAGACCTACCAGCTGTCTGCACTCAAAAGACTGGAGACACTAACATCACCACTCGAGCCAAACGTCTGCGCATAGAAGACTCTCCAAACACGCTAGATGACTCAGCCGACTATTTTGATATCTTCAGAGCCGAATTACTTGATATGCTGAGTAAATGGAAGACAGAGCAGGAAATTTTCCTAACCACGTAGACGACAAACCAAGGCGCAATCTTATCACAGCTGACTACCGACGTTAGGGAGCTCAGGACATAGTGCCTAGCAATACAGGGGTCAAATACTGAAATTGAACGTAGCATCGTTTATAAGCAGGCAATATGATGAAATGGTGAAGAGGGTGAAAAACTTAGAGAAGGAAAGGGGCGATAAGGCAGCGAACATCCTGCGCCTGCAGAAGCACTTACAGGATTTGCACTTTCAATCACCGGTGGCTAGTCTAATCTTCCAACGAAGGAACAGGAAAAGCCTGATGATCCGGCGACTGCTCTGGCCGATGTTGGGAGACTGGTTGGGGCGGATGTGCAAGCGTCCTGCCTTCGTGCTATTTACAGACTGCCCGGAAAACCGGGTATCTGTAGACCTGTAGTAGCTGAATTTGCCTGCGTAAATACAAGAAACAAATTTTTGGCTAGGATCAGGAAGTATAACAGAGAGCGAACCAAAATGATAAGTTGAACACACATGCCATTGGCCTGGGTGGAAATAAACAGCCACTCTACGTAGATGACCACCTACCACCCACAATTAGAAAGTTATCTTATAATACTCGTCAACTTGCCAAAAGCCTAAACTACACATGTTAGTATTCAAACGGAAAAATCTTGGTGCGTAAAAACCCGGCGGAGAAACCTATTCACTTAAGATCTGAAAATTTCCTTGCGCTACTATCACAGCAACAATGACTGTTTTGCTGTGTGGCATATCTATCACTAATTGGACGACATATTCGTTACTATGCTGAACCTCATTGTTATTTTTGTAATATTCTAATAAACTTATTTACATTTTGTTTCATATATAGAGGTACAACTACTCGCTCTCACACAACTACACTTTCATTAACATTAACAGACACATGTATGATTACCATCACCTGCCGTTTCATAAATACACACTCGTTTAGAAGCCGTAATTGTTGTCTTGCGGATTTTTTTCCGCCTCACTTGAATAGCGTCAGCCCGCCTAAACCATCTTAAACATTCGATACCACAAATAACTTGATGCGAGAGATTGACCACTTTGATATCACAGATTCGGCTGAGGACTGTTTATCTTA